TATATGCGCGGGTCGCTTATAAATCACGTTATAGTTTATAATTATTCTGTATATATAATTATTTTGTGCACTTTTCTCTTATATTATAATCTTCTAATTATTATCCTAACAGGTTTGTATATTATGGCTAGGCTTGCCATATCTTTTATATTACTATAAGCCTAACAACTTAGCCTGTATAACACCTCCTTCTACTAACCTTTTACTTAAACATTATTATATAGTTGATCTCTACTTAATTAAACTACAACCTTTTACTTAATTACTATTATATAGTCGCTTTCTGCTTAATTAAACTACTTACATCCTCTATAGTAAGTATATCTCTAGCTTATATATATATTTTTTTAGCCTTTTAATACTTTGTAAGAGCCTAATTAGCCTTATAAAGCATATAAACCTCTTTATATAAAAGGGTTATTTAATAAGTCTTTACAGAGGGCTCTCTAGAAGTTATATACACACAAAAAACGTGTCTTAAGCTCAGGGCAGCATTATACAAAGTTGTATAGTTACTGCTTGCTAACAGGCTTTGTGTGACGCATCTTGCAAAGGAGGTCAGCTATATCTTGTACGTCGTTAATCCGGGGTGGGAATCCTCACGAATCCAGGTCAAGGATATATTGTACAAGCGTCTCTTCTTTAGTCAGGGTCAAAATGTGTCGAGCATTACGCTCTTCAGCCTTTGAGGTACAGCCCTTTATACAATCGCTAAGGGACGTTGTACGTCTTTGCAGCACGTCAGATCGACATGGCCACTGCTTGCCAACAGGCTTTGCGTGACGCGTCTTGCGAAGAAGGTCAGCCATATCTCGTATGTTGTTGATCCAGGGTGGGAATCCTCGCGAATCCAGGTTAAGGATATATTGTACAAGCGTCTCTTCTTTAGTCAGGGTCAAAATGTGTTAAGCATTGCGCTCTTCAGCCTTTGAGGTGCAGCTCTTTATACAATCGCAGAGGGTAGTTTGAGGGACGTCGTACGTCTTTACAGCATGTTGGATCAACATTTCTTAGTTAGTACAGATAGCCTGGATAGCAAGGAGAATTCTGGCTTCCTGAGATTGAGAATTCATTGTGTTGTTGTGTTGTGGTAGCGTACAATAGTTCGAAGGTTGTAATTTGGAAGAAAAGTGCGCAGGATGATTGTATACGCAGGACGATTATAAACTACGTTATAATAATATTTTAAAGTAATAATTATTTAATAATTATTATATTTAATTTCTTTTTTTTAAATCTCTAAAAATAATTAAATCTGTTTATGTAAAGAGATTTTATTTTTAATTCTTCTAATAAATAAAACGAAACCAACAGAGAGGAAGAGAGAAACATTTCAAAGAATGAGTCACCAAGCAACGGGAGAATCCTTCATCCCTCGAAGACCCACCGGCAATGCGAACGGGAGTGGAGGCGTGTCATGGTCATTTTTGGATGATGGGACCGATTTTGGGCCCCAAGTCCATAAACTGGGCCCCCTAAGTATCGTCGTTTAAACTTGACTGGAAAAGACATGACACGACGATGAGAACACGATGCATGATTGGCTTATAGGGGCAGAAGGTGACTGAGCAAGACCTGAGCAACCTGAGCAGCCTGAGCAAGTGGGTGAGCAAACTGCGCCGAGGATGAGCCGAGGATGGATAGCGCCTGAGCAGGGCGGCGATGCTGACTAACCAGATGGAACTTCACTAAAAAAATCTTATGTCCTATTACCTGGATAGTCGGACATAAGATTTTTTTCCCCAGTTCCAGTTACAGCCTCCATCCTGAGCGGCGCTGCTTTAACCTGAACCGAGACTGAACTAAGACTGAGCTGAGACTAAGCGCCCTTGAGCAGCGCTGAGCAGAGGCTGAGCAGGTGGCTAAAGAGCTGGTAAGACCCAGTTCTGGTCCAACTGGGGCCTGCTTTTGGGCTCTCGTATTCGGTTGCAACTGCTTACTTTATTCTATTAGTGTTTTAGGTAAGTCTGCTGCTTAGTGATAGTCGCTTTCTTTGAGATTCTTCTGCTTATAACTGACTTATAAAAAGTAGATTAAAATAAAATTAACGACTTTTTTATATTAATATTATAGTTAGCTTAAGATTAAATAATTTATCTTTTTATAATGTGGTTCACAAGCAGCCCGCGCATACAAGCAGCCCGCGCACCTTTCTTTCACATCCCAACCTTCTGACTATCGTACGCGGCCACAACATACCCCATACCCTGTTGCACAGCATTCTGTGTAACAAAGAGAAAAGATAAGCTGATAAAACCGGTCAAATTGATTTGAAATGTGATCGGGAGATTTAGAAATAATAGTGACAGACGCAAATACCTAGTACGTCTTACGTACCAAGCTAACCATCGCCTGAAACATGTAAAGGTGAATATGTTACATTCTGGTTTCAATGATAGCCTTTGTATTGTAATGTGGTCTTTGGTAAGGAGTTTCAGACTAGTAGTTGGTACTGCGTTGGTTAGTAGTGTTTTGGGTGCCGTCGGACCCTGTTTCAAAGGCCACTCCGTATAGAAAGACAGACCAAAAAGGATAAATTGATTGAGCCAGCCCGCTTATCAAATATTATTATGATATCATACTTTCTAAAAACCGAACCTATCAATCTCACTATTGGGGAGTCTGGAAAACGCCTGCTTGACCTTTTTTAATCTAACAAAGGTAACATAAAAATGCCAGACCCAGCTCAAAGACGAGCCCAAGCCCGAAGCCGCCTCCAGAACCAGCTTCGTCAAAGAAAAACCAAAGATGGCAAACCTCCCACCCTCGAGCAACTCGAACAAATGTGCGAGGAAGACGTCAAGCGTCTCGTAGCCCACATCAACTTCGTGACAGAAATAGGAATCTCAGACATGACAGCGCCTCTCTGGACTCACCTATTGTGTTGGCTCGAAGAGGGCGTACAAAGAATTGAAGTGGCCGGCGGACCCTATAAAAGGGCGGATTTTCAACATGCCAGTCGTCTCCACTCCTCACAAGCCGATAAATGGCAGCACATCGAAGAAGCGAAGTGCGTCCTTGCCAACCTGCATGTCCTGGTTCCCCAGCTTCCCCCAGGCCATCGACTCCTCAATCCCGGACGGCTTGGCCTGCGTCCGACAAGTGAAGTGACGCAATATGAAGTCGCCCACGCTAATGATCCTGATGATCCGGTGGGCACTCGCGGCTTCCAGTCCGCGGTGAGAGACTTTGAGAGGCTGGGGATTCCGCTACCACCGCAGATTGCGCTTTTCATACTTTCCATTGACGCACCTCTCCAGTCCAGAGACTGTGAAAAGGCTCTAGATGTCATGGAGAGATCACTTATAGGGTTCAAAGTGGATCAGCAGCAGTCGGCCACTACCTTTGGGCAAGAGAAGGCGACGAAGGCCACTGTCAAACGCCTGGAGAAATGGATCGACCAGACGAAGTCGAGGTTTGCCAGCAGAAAGAAGCCTGACAATCCAGGGTCGACTAGCCGTCGTAGACGAGATGGAGAGATTTCTACCTGAGAGTCAATGCTTCCGAGTCCGAGACCCCAACCGATAGTACTGTTTTCAAAACAGTAATAGGGACGAGGGCTTTGCCAGCTCTGGAATATGTACCGTTCCAATTCGTGTCATCGCTGATAGAGTATGTTAGATGAATCAAGGCAATCGCCGTCGACGCAAACTTGACATTCGCTAATTAGTGGCAAACTCGATTACCTGGGAAAAGAAAAGCTCACAACATTCAAACAAGTCTTGAGCCCAACTTAGTAAACATAGTTAATGAATAGGAAACAAGTTAGATTCAATTCTAGACTGCTCACTTTGCCCAGAAAATGCAAGGTAATAACGTCGAGGTTTGTAAAGTGACTCCCACCCAAGCATACCTACTTTCACCAAGTTATCAGAACCCAGTGTTAATTCAACAACTTCTCCAACACTGGCGGAAGACTTTTGTGCGAGAATCCTCCACCGAAGAACTCTCCGCCAAAGAACTTTCGTTGTATCTCTGAAGAATTCCTGATCGGTTATAGACTAGTTAGTCCGAATATATTAGCAGGGAGGAACAAGGTGACCAATTAAAAAGTTCAAGGCCAAGCCTAAATTTAAGGCTGTAATAATGAAATGGAAGGTAGATTCTTGGAATGATGTTAGGTTGCCAGGAAAAATCTTATGGGATAATACCTTAACAATATGATCGAAATAGCTTTCTTGTACCCAATGCAGCGCCGCAAGTAGTGGCCCACTACCGTGTTGGTCGTCTTTGAATACTTAGTCCCTATCCCATTGCAGAACTCATACCTTGTTCTACTGACAGTTGTCATGGATTGTGTCATGATTGGGACACATCAAAACGCTACCTAATCAAAAACTGGTATGCAATTTCCTTAGTGAGCTGTTCTTGGCTAACCTTGGACTTGCTCATCTGGATGTCACCTACAACTAACCACCTGTCAGACCGTATGAGCGCTCATCGGTTGGAATTTCTACGCGCAACCCCAGCGTTTTGCCTGCTTTTGATTGGTTCATATCCCCTGCAATCTCGCACCTAATTTTCGCGGTACCGTACGGCGAATCGGTACGTTAATCTGCGTGCGCTGACCCTTTGTGAGAAAGAACAGAGCCATTTCTTCTATCTGCTTGACACCACCCTATCCGACCCCGCCCACCTTCTCGTTCACTGAGCCGGTGGCTCCGCTTACTACTGACGGTTTAAGATCGATAGCTTTTCCCTGGGGTGTCAGTTACCTTGGCAATGCGTATTAATACGGAGCAGGACTACAACAAGGACATGGTTTAGTAGGAGGAAGGTGCTATAGGTGGGTGGATGGTGGTGGGTAATATACACCGGCGCACCTTGGACTAGGGGAGAGAAAACGGGCTTATGCCTAGCACGCAAGGATTCTGTACGTAATTCGGCCTGTGTGGACAGATTGAATGGATTCTGGAGTCCTTGTGGCAGACCGATTCCTTCTGGAGGTTGGGGGCCATCCGGTGGGCTTCTGATACATCGTATCCGATTACTCTAGGTAGCCAGCACCTTGGTGCTTTATTTTTAATTTATTTTTTCATTCCCCTTTCCCTTAAGTCAGGGGGAGGGACAGGCGTAATAGACTTCCAGCATTTGTCGATGTACATTTACCACAGACGGTGGCAACTGTCTTATCAAGCCCAGGCTTGTCTACTGTTACAAACGGGAAGAGGTGGGGAACAACAGCAATAGATGGTCATAAGATAAGAAAAGGAATCTTCAGCACATTACATAGTAAAGGGTATGTTAAGCAAGTTTTTGTTGACTGCCAGTGTTGCTGCACACAGGTATAGGTTGGCCGGCCCACCGTTTAGAAGGCATCCCTTCCCTTCTCCACTCAGTCACTTTGAATGACATTGTGAGATGAGAGGATGGTAGTATGCATGCAATTTTTCACAGGCTTCTTCTGCACGTGACTTCTAGCTCCGTCCTGAACCCAGCCCTCTGTTTTCTCTATGCGGTCTTTTCCCAATGTAGCGATTCACTTCGAGACTCTGAGCAATCATCTGCGTGCAAAAGAGCTTCTCCTCTCTCAACTCTGATAGCTAAAAGGATGTCCGGTCCCCCGAGGGTGGGTAGAAAGTGACTAGGAGGCGGCGAGGATGGTAGCATACAACGAGATATGCTGCTGGCAGAGTCAGTGGGGAGTAGAACGGAGGAGCTCAATATGCACACTTTTGTCTAGTCTCTGTTTCGCCAGCCTTCCAAAAGAATCGATTTTGTTAACGTGGTGCCACTTGAGTGGGAGCAACTAGAGCTCAGGGGCAGATGTTTCCTATCCTCTGCGTTGGGCAATAGGCAGGTGATCATGACAGATGTATCAGAGAAGACACGTCAGCGACCATAGTTGTTCCACCACGGATCATCCAACACTTGGTCCATCGTTGCCCTTCTTCCTGGATCCAGGCTAAGCATCTTACGCAAGAAGCTGAATGTTTCTTCATCCATCGAAGGATCTCCCGTAGTTGCCCAGTCCCAGAATGGTTCCCGTTTATTGTGCTGTTCAAAGTGGTTCAGACGCAGCAGAACCTCCTGTTCCACTTTGTCCAATGAGTCAAGGCCAATGTGGTCGAAAAAGGCCGGAGGTGAGGGTCCAAAGTACCTGAACATACGCTCTAGCACTTGCCATCGAAGATCGACATCTGGGGTACGATGCTCGGGGTAGATTCCAAATATCATAAGTCGGAAGACCACATAGATACACTAGCGAAAGCGGGTGTTAGGCAAGACTGGTGTGGAACTCAAATGATGGTGTAAGCTACTTACCACAACACCAAAAGACCATACATCGGTAGCTTGGCCAATACCAAAGCCGACTTGCTGCTCCGGGCTGCGCCAGAATTCATTCCCAATCAACAATGGTCTCGCGCTGCCTTTTGGGTTGAAGTCTCTCTTGCCGTCCAAGAATACAATGTTGTCCTCATCAGCGATCTTAACTCCGGAGATCTGCACAAAACCCTTGTCATCCACATCGTGATCAACAACGACATTGTTCGGCTTAAGGTCTGAAGACATCGGTATCAGTATGCTTCTGTTGCTTATAGCGTGGACGACGCACCAGCATGCATAAAATTGTGGTCATGCAGCTCTTTAAGACCATATGCAATACCATGAAGGATGCATCACGCGGAATCCTTGGTGAGTTTCACTTCCCCTTGATAGACTCTGATCACCAACTGCAGGAGATCCGTAGTAAAGTAATCATAAACTAGGGTCTCCTCCTCAGGGGTTTTGTCTTCTGCTAAGCGAATATTCTGGCAGCCTGCCAGCAGCTGATTGACATATTGTGCGCGGTCATAGAAGACATGATTGGGAAACCTCTTGAGCACAAAACTCCTTTTTTCAGAACTATAGCAGGTTGGTTAGTTGTTCAATATCGACCTACTTGCAGCAAGCATCATAAGGAGGATGACGGCATACCACGCATGAACCACAGTTTGTTTGGAGTCTCTTGGTGGTTGCAAATCCCGCAGCGGACAGTAAAGACGGCCGGTTATGCCTTTGATCACATGAGAAGCAGATGATGGAAGCAACTGATGTAAATTCCGTGACGGGTGCATCACGATGAAAACGCAGGTCAATTTTGTATTTGGTTGTTGCGACCGCAAGCGCACATTTAACAGCCGCCATTAATACAGTATTATACCTATATTCACTTTGAGTTGACGCTAGCGGTCACTTCAACCAATGAAAGAATGCTGGATTTTGATAGGTGTGTTGTGTAGGTCAGTCGGTCAGTCAGTCAGTCAGTCAGTCAGTCAGTCAGTCAGTCAGTCAGTCCGTCTTGTGTTCAGCGCCAAAGTAGTACTTCATAGAGAACATTGAAGTTCACCCTGCTGTCACGTGCTTGCTATGCTTGGCGCTCATAGATCAGCCTCTGTTGCCTATTTGCAAACTTCAAGTTCCGCACACCTTCTGCCATCTGATCACAGGGCGTCACCTCTTGTTTTGCTGAGATGTTGCAGCCTGTGCAAATGTATATCACGTACAACCAGCCAATCCGCAGTCTTGTTTGCCCTCTCCCTAATTGCTCTCAGCTCCGTCCACGATTTCGATTTCGTACAAGCCTTCTTTCTCCGTTGCTGCTTGCTCTATCAGTAGGCGATTTCCACCTCCCCTGATGGCAGCTTGCTCTGTTCTAAACTCTCTATGACCGTTTTCTTATCGTTTCTTCCTCCATCCCTACTTAAATTCCCATTCCCTTGTCCAGCTTGCGCCATCCTATGATTTTGCCTTGGCCCTGCATTGTTGTGGCTTTCCGCTTCATCCAAGGTTCCATTGCACGTTTCCGTGATACTATCTCTACCTGGATTCTTTGATACTCCTCTCCACTGCTGCTTGCTTCTTTCACAACCATGGCCAGTCGTTCTCCTTTGTTCTTGCTCTACCAATCATCCGGTACCACCAATTGCCGACTTCTTACAGCAATGTATCCGCTCAACAATATAAGGTGTGCAGGGGCAAGAAAGAGTTCTTGGAGGATTGTGAAACGGATTTCTTGCCCACACCAAACAAAAGCCTCTTCTACTTACTTTCCAGAGCTCCTTCTCAAGCCACCCTCTCGATTATCATGGCAGCGCTCCGCAGCTGGACAGTAATCAAGAAAATTGTGGACAGTACTGGCAAACAAATTACTGTTGGTTATGCCCAAGAAACGACTGCCTGGTTTCGTATAGAAAATATGCCAGCTCAGTCCTGTCGAGATGATTTCGTCAAGAAGGTCGAGGAGGAGAAGATTGGAGCTTCCACCAAAGACCGAGCTCGTGGTCCTAAAGTGAGTATTGTGTGCACAAAAGGACAGATGCAGTAATTAACACAACTGGGGCTTCTTCAGAGAGACAGAACACAGGAGTAGTGACACTCGTTGGCATTATACCGCCTTCTGCAAGGACAAGGGCGGCAAGATAATGACTCTGCACTTCCCAACTGGAAAAGTGTAGGCGCTAGTGGAAACCTTTCTTAGCTTGATCGAAGACCGAGTTTGTTGATGCATCGAGAACTAAGTCCTTTGGATGAGAAATAGCGCGAATCTTGATTTCGTTCCCGATAACAAGATTATGCGCAGGAGAGATGACGCTGTCATCCCAGAGCCAGCATGACAATGCTTACTGATCTTCTTGGTGATCATGATCGGAACAAGGGGATTCCACGGCAGGAGGAAGTGAGTAAAAGGGAAGGATGCGTCGGTACAGTTGTGAAGAAAGCTTCTCATGACTCATAAACTCCAGCACAGAGAACCGATAGACACATACCTATGTCCATTACACCCTGAAATCTCTCACCTATCACCTCTGCTCTATCCCTTAACCCACCAGGTATTACTTTACCCTTGCAACTTTAAATCTGTGATTCTGATATCCCTCACAGGCTTGATTAATGTCATTCACGATCCATTAATCTTCCAACCCACATGCAGTGCTCTAGGGGTGCATGCCATGCGGAAATGGAGGGTGGCTAATTAGAATGGGGCAATTTCGCTTGGAATTTCAGTGGCAATGGAGTGATGGAAATGAAGAGGTCATGCTGCAGAAAGCATATCCGACGCTGGACCTTGTCACATCTAGCCAGTGACAGGGTCCAGCTATAAGCACTGGAAAGAGCGGAAATGGAAACGTGTTACACCTAAAAGTGCACGATGTACGCATAGAAAGAACTTCCTTTTCTGGCTTGAGTGTATAATGGAAACAGACACGTATTCATATCCTACCGGGCAGTGTTATAAATGTCTTCTCACCTTTAGTCCGCCTCAATCTGATCTAACATCGAAGCAGGTCTGAAATAGGGAGAAGGTGTCTTGTCACCACAACCCTAGCAATCATTGGCTACCTCCGGCGACCATGGCTGCGTAGGTGAGGATCAAGAACAGCATGATCTTGCGCATTCATTGTCATAAAAGTAACAATGTTACTTGTGATCTGACAACCATGGAGGAGGGGTGGTTGAAGACGTTGTGCTCTGTTCTGAGTAGCGCTTTGTGAGGATTGCCTTGTGTGGCTGTGTGAAAGAGAAGAGAAGATGCAGAGATGGGGTGAGAATTTAGTTACGGAAAGGAGAAAGAATGAGAAGAGGACGGGAGAGGATTTGCCGACTGTGGAGATGTTAGAGAACCTGACAGGCTGGCGGACACAGACTCTGCGAAAGCAGGCTGATCGGCTTCATTCGTTCCCTGATGGAGCCGTCATCTAGATTGACGCACTGTTGCAGTCCAATAGGGATGTCAACTTTAGAAATGCTGGCTCTCTGTTCTACTCAATATTTCCCTTGGGAGTGTGCGACTGTTCCTCGGAATTGCAGCCAGATTTATTGTGACGAGATTCAGACTCAAAGAAACGTGGGCTGCTGCACCCTAAGGCGGTCACACTCTCTTGAGTAGACACAAGACCTAGAAGCTCTGATAAAGCGCATTTCTCGAAGCTGGGCAAGGCGAGGGATTGGATGAGATTTCAGCGCCCAATGCCTATAGAGTATTGGTGCTGGCGCAGAACATACCTTCCTGCTACGTTCGGCGTGCTTCATCCTTCAGTCATCCGTAGGTGCTTGACGTCCCAATCATTACCCACCCAATCTTTCTTCTCGCCAAGTATACAGACCGCCTGCTGATCGGCGGAAATGTCTACCAGATATTGCTGGGCAGCCTTCTGGATGTCGTCTCTCGTAACATCAAGTAAGCGCTCTCTCATCTTCTGGTCCATATCTTCTGTTATACTGTACATGAACTCCTTTGAGCCATCGTTTCGTACGCTTGTGGGTGCATCAATCTGTTGAAAAACACCTAGCTTGCCTTCTTCTAGCTCACGCGCGGTCCAGTCTCTTTCTAAAGCAAATTTCCCTGCGTCTTGAATAATCTGCAATGTGTTGCGGGGATTCGGATCTCGATACGAAGACATTGAGAATAGTCCACCAACTGGACTAGCGCTGGCAGATGCACCATATGCACCTCCCTTTTCGCGGATGCTCGGGTGCATATAGTTATGCGTAAGGAGTTGGCCAAGTACTGTGAGAGCCGCCTTGGATGGTGAAGCATAAGGCACAGTCTGTAAGCATGTACCTGTGTACGAAACTTGGAATGGTAGGTCGAAGAATGTCCTCCTCGAGTACGAAGACCCAGGTACAGCTTCTGGAGACTGACCAACTCCTTGCTGGTCCGGAAGGCTACTCTTGAAAGCATTCAAGAGGCGAGCATTCTCGGTCGCCACCTCGCTTTCACAGACAACACGAAATGAGAGATTTGACGAGTTCGAAATTGCTAGTCTTTGAATCGTTTTCAACTTTCCAATTACCACCAGTAAGCTTTCCGGTCTTGCACGCGCCTCCCGTAACAACTGTGCGCATGCCTCAATTTGTGTCAGACCCGAAAGCTGCTCCTGCATCAGACCTCTTGGAGACAAAGCAGCAGAAGCATTTGTAATAGCAAAATGATGGCCAGCCTCTGCAACCGAGTCAAGTGCACCGGAAACCTTCGATTCAAGGAGCTCTTGAATTGCTGCCACCGCTTGGCCGCTTGAAAAGTCGATGTCACAGACAAGGGTCCGGAGCAAATCGAGCATTGCCGGCACATTCTTGTCAAGCGCGTAGCTGCTGAAGGTTAGGCCTTCTGCGTATTTCTCCATATTCCAAGGGTCCGGCCGAATGTATGGTGAGATTGTTATGCCGCCTGTTTTACGCAGTATATCCGCTTCAATGTCGCCAACAGACCTGTCTTTCGTCCCTAACCGTATCAACGACTCAGTGAACAAGGGAAGTAGTAGTCGAAACTCGTCTGGCAGCTCATTCAGTTCATGCTTAGCTTGGATATATGTGATGCCATTGGTTTCGGTTGTCCTCCATATCGATTGGGAGCCAGCCAGATCTTGAGTATATACCGGCTTTCTGACCATCTCTCTTGATATGTCCTGAACGTGAAGACTGGGCAGTCTGTCCAAATTTGCGTCCTTCATATTTTCTTGTTCATTCAAGAGATCCAGCTCCTGCTTCTGCAATTGTTGAAGAGCGTGATCAGAGCTTTGTGCCTCGTGTTCTAGACGTGACAATATACTCTCTCTTCGGGCAGCCTCTCGCAACTCAGTATCCCTGTTGAAGGACTCGGATGGCTCCATTGTAAACACAAGACAGTTATCATTGCCTAGATACTTATGAGCAAGGCCAATAAGGTAATCTGGCTGCTTCAGTTTCTCCTTGAATGCGTTGACTACCTCATTCCATTTCAGACTCTCCATTGGATCAACCCCATTGAACCATGACGGCAAGACTTTATCCATCAATCCCATCCCAAAAGACGCAGTTTTGTGCTTGAGCGCGATTTCCAATTGGTGCATATAGCCTTCAATCTTGTGTGCGGCAAAGGCTTCACTAGCATGCTGGTGCAAAATCTGATGGATTGTATGCTTCAAGCGTGGAACGTCTTCCTTCGTCATGCCATCCAGTCCGAGAGAATAAGTTCCAATGCGACCAGAACTATCAAATCCTGTATTCGGGCTGAAGTTTGAGCCCATTCCACTTTGAATCAGCCCTTGATATAATGGCGAGCCATATCCACTCATCAACAATGACGAGAGAATGCTGAAGGAAAATGTCTCGAGGATATCAGAAGTCTCGCAAATGAGCCAAGACACCGATGATTTGCTCTGCCGACCAGATGCTTGCATGGGATCCAGGGGGCCAGGAATCGTTACAGAAATAGGACCTCCGCTTAGATCTCGCGGGGTTCTGACCTCTTGGTCGACTTCACGTTTCTCAAATCCTTGTAGAGTGAAATCGACCAGCTTGAGTTGTTCCGAAAGGTCAAGGTCGCCATAGGAGAAGAACCTTGCATTGCTGGGATGGTAATGCCGACGAGAGAATTCTACAAGCTCCTCATAAGTAAGTTCAGTCATCTTATCAGGATCCCCCCCTGAATTGTGTATGGCTGGAAATAGATGATCCCGAAAACGAACGTAATACAAATAGCTTGCATCTGACATCTGACCTTTCATCTCGTTATACACAACACCTTTGAACACAATATCATCGTGTGACGATGCTGCTCGGGGATTTTCAGGCCCTAATCGCCATCCTTCCTGCAAGAAGTCCGACTTTTTCAACAAAGGTCTAAGTGTAGAATCGAGGTACACAGAAGACAAATTGCGGTAGTCTTGCTTATTTGTGGTAGAAAATGGATACGAGGTGTAATCAGCTGAGGTAAAGGCATTCATGAAATTAGCGAGTGATCTAGGCACCATCTTGAAGAAGGGATCCCGGACTGGATAGTTCTCGCTACCACAAAGCGTCACGTGCTCCAGAATATGAGGTAATCCCGTATCATCGTTGGGATTGGTCTTGAAGTTGATAGCGAAGACGTTGTTCTTGTCTTCTCTGGCCACGTGAAGATACTGAGCCCCTGTCTTGTTGTGTTGCAGTTGCAGAGCCGTGAGATGCAGCTCTGGTACCTTCTGGATCCTCTCCAGAGTGAATCCATTTATCACCTCTCCGGCCTTCGGAAGATTGTGGTGGTTTGTGACTGATGCATACCTCCTAAGCGCGAGAGGCCTTCTTTTCCAATGTCTTCCACGCTTCAAGACTGGTCGTAACGTGTTGAGCGCAAAGCGGGAGGCATGATTGATCATGACCTCTCGGCCGGTTCAATGACTTTCTAAATCGAGGATCGCAGAGCCAGGTACTGCAGGAGAGCTGGCAAAGTCAAGAACTGTATATTGGAACAAGTGGACCTCTTCAGATCGTGCCGGAGAATAAAGTCGGATGCTGGGTTGGTAGATCGATGTCCGTAGACGAGACTGATTTCGACAGAATCCTGCACATGCATAAGAGATAGAACTGAGTGCAAATCCCTGTACAACAAACACTTCATCCAAGGTTGATATAGTGTTCAGTGGTGAATTGTTCACTTTCGATGTGAAGGGTAGATCAATATCGATTGTCAGTCGTTGATATAAAAAGTTGGTTGTACAAAAACTTATGCCGGCGTGTGATGCACGATCACCATCTACCCGCAGGCACAATCTTTAGTCGATCCAATACCTTGTGAGCAATCCCCTTCCACACCGAGCTACCCGACTTGTGCAGCTACAGGCTTTAAAAAGCAGAGAATGGATGTTTAGGATGTGATCTCGAAGGCACATTGAGGAGCTAGGAACACAATTGTCGTGTCTCATGCGTTACTCAGCAAGACTCCGCTTCGTCCCCTCCTCGACCGTCACCTGGAGTCGACGACTCGCCGATACAAATCTGCAAGGCGCCCCCAACACCTCGACCGTTGCTTCACTTTACATTGCACACGTCTCGTATCAAGAACACCCTACTCATGTCTGCTGCCACCGTCGCTCCGTCCAGTCTGACAAACGGTCACGCTGGTACACAAGACCCGATGCTGCCACCAGCACCAGCACCGGTGTCCCAAAAGAAAGGGAAAGGAAAGAAAGAAAAGATAGGAGCCGATGAGACTTCGAAGTTGCTGGCAGCTAAGATATCACAATTGGAGCAAGATGCGGCTGGGGAAAAGGATCAGGAGGCGGAGATAGGTGTGTGAATACCCAGTCCCAGGGGAAGCCACCCTCCTTATGCAGCTCATGCCTTGGTCTGGGACAGTGCTGATGTTTGGCCGCTCGCAACAGAACGTGAGGTCAAGAAAGCTACCAGAGATCTGAACCAATTACTCAACAACATCGAATCACCGCTGACCCGGCTCGATACCGTGCAGAAGAAGTACACAGAGCTTCTAGCTGATATGAAGAAGCTGGATCGCGACTATTCCAAGAGCAAAAAGCGGGCAGATCAGCTACAGAAAGATCAAGACAAGTCAAAGTCGGAGTACAATAAGACGGCTACGATGAAGGACAAGTTAGAGAAACTCTGCCGGGAATTGACCAAAGAGAACAAGAAAGTCAAGGTTGGCTTACTATCCTCCGCTCATGCTGGCGTACTGGCTGATAAAGCTGTTCCAGGATGAGAATAAACGATTAGACGACACAGAGAAGAAAGCACGGGGTCTGGTGAATGAGCGGCTTGGTACCCTGCTTTTCGACGTCCAAGATATGATGAACGCAAAGGGTGGTTCGCAAAGCGAGAATTTGAATACAGAACTAGATGAGCTGTGCGTATTCCGGAAATTGCTGGGCTGTAGAAGCTGATGTAGTTTAGGTTCAAGATTCGGTGCAAAGTCCTTGCTGACCAGATGGATTTACGAGAGCTACATTTCAAGTCAATGCTTCGCCACAAGGACGCCGAGATAGCAAACCTGGCTGCTAAGCACGAGGTGGAACGCAAAAGAGCAGATGCAGAAGCCACTCGATGCCGCACGCTTACGGCCCAGGTCTCTACTTTCTCCCATACCGAATCAGAACTTCGTAGCCAACTGAACATATACGTGGAGAAATTCAAACAGGTATGAGACTCCTTCATGCATTTCGTTGTTTTCACAAACACTGCTGAGCCTTTTCACTCACATACAGCAGGTCGAAGATACACTCAACAACAGCAACGAGCTCTTTCTTACCTTCCGCAAGGAGATGGAGGAGATGTCAAAGAAGACCAAGCGACTCGAGAAGGAGAATCTCACCCTGACGCGCAAGCACGACCAGACGAACCGCAACATTCTAGAAATGGCCGAAGAGCGAACAAGAGACAAGGACGAGTTAGAAAAGCTGCACAAGAAGGAAACCCAGATGCGGTCCATCATTCAGAGCATGCGAGAGCAGGGTCGGGGCATATCACATGACGTTCCACCAGATGTCGATGATGAGGCAACCGAAAGTGATCTCGAGGACGGATATGAAGATGACGAAGAAGAAGACGAGGAAGGCAGCTTCGAAGGGGACGAAGAACTCGCCGCAGAATTCTCCAAGCCTGTGTTTGGACCCGTGCCACCTCCAACGTTGTCCGAGGCGAGGCCGAATGGCAGTAAGATCAACGTCAATGGCATCAAGCATTGACTTGCACAGCGGCTAAGATATTGATTGTTGCCAGCCAGAGCTGCTTGTGGCGGAGCAACAAGGCAAGATTTGCAGAAACATGTGCCTCTAGAGTTAGCACCTGTATCTGTACGCAACGGCTACGTGCCAATGCATCCAGGGGCCATTGTAGATAGGAGATCTCAGAGCATACTCCTCGCCCCTGGCGCGATATAAGTCTGGCCTAGCTTGATCATCGCAACCGCCTCCCTAACCATATCCTCTACAATGACTCTGGCGGGCTTGATGTCCTTGATGATGGCCGCCACCTGACCCATCAGAAATGGAATGTCAACATCCTTCCCGTCTTCCATATCCTTCATCATGGGCACGACACCCCTGTCTGTCAACTCCTTGATCTTTTCTGGTTGCTCCTCCCAGCCCTTGATATAGTCGTTCATCCTCACCCTCAACGGCCGCCCAGATACCACTAGCGTCCGTATTGTGTCGCTGAAATCGGCGTCTACAACTGATTCTTTATGCAACCTGGGAGCCCCACTCTCCTCTGCAGCAACAAATCTTGTACCCACCCAGACGCCAACCGCGCCTTGCATCAGACTACTGGCCAAACTTCTACCATCATTAATCCCACCCGCTGCCACTACCATAGCTGGTCTCCCGGTTAACGGGCTGTTGTATTTCCGTGCCACATCAACCACTGTCGGAATCAAGATACTATTCGCGATATCCCCTGTATGGCCACCGCCCTCACCACCCTGCGCGCAGACGATATCCACGCCTGCATCAAGAGCCTTCTCCGCATGCCTCGGCGCACCAACCATGTTCATGATCAGTATGCCCGCTTCGTGAAGTCGTTTGATTGTCCGTGCAGGTGGCACACCCACGGCGCTGATGAACAGCTTTGCACCGCTCTTGATTGTGACTTCAATGAGCTCGTTAAGTTGGCCGTGCGTGTAGTCGTGGTTGGTTTTGCGGGCTGAGCCGCCTACTTGGGGTAGGGCGAGGTCGACGCCGAAGGGGAGAGAGGAGTCGCTTAGATTGGATTTCAGCTCGTCAATTATCTAGAGGTTTTATCTTTAGGAAGCGGTCATGCTAACATATGGCTGGGAGCTGACTTCTTGTAATTGTGCGGGCGTATAGCCGAGTCCGCCTATGCAACCCATACCGCCAGCATTGGAGACCGCGGCCGCGAGAGGTCCACCAGACGTTCGTGCCATTCCAGCCAAGAGTATGGGATATTTGATGCCCAGAAGTTCACATAGCGGAGTATGGAGGGGTGGTGGTGGAGGCATTCTGGTCTAAGGATTCTGTAGGCTAGGGAGAACGGTGAATCTGGTGTTGTCGCAAGCAATTGCGGCAAACTGTAGGATAGTCAGAATACCTGGCGATCTGATGGTCGTCCATTCAGACCATAGGAGGTGAGGAGTCGGATCCGGAGTGGAATTGAGCGGCTCAAGAAGCCGAGGATCTTCACGGCATGTCAGCGATTGTACTAGTAGATTGACGGGGGAGAAGCATCAGTCACACAGTGGTGATTCATTGGATGCAAGAAACTATTAGCTTGCACCTTTGCATGTACCACATATGAAGATGCTGCATAATTCCTGTATGCTAGAACACCACCAGGGAGTGACAAGAGGTTGCATATGGAGGAAACGGAACACGCCAAGACATCTAAACTCAAAGGGGTAACGCGCCTATCGCGTCGGTCTCGCGTCTTGCGTCTTGCATCTTACGTCTTTCGTCTTGCATCTTACGTCTTTCGTCTTTCGTCTTTCGTAGCCAGAAATCACTGTTACAGACCATGAGTCTGGTATCATTGTCTGATAACAGTTCGTTGTTGCCAGAAATACAGCAGAAGACAAGATGGCGGAGGTGGAAGATCTGCTTACAAAATGGAACGAAGACAACAAGTATCAAATGTTGGAACGATTACCGTCCACATACAACCCTCTGTATTCATTTGTTCTCCCAAAAGGAGAGAACAAGCACTACATGCAACAGTTCAGCGACATTTACTTCTTGAGACTGGCAAAGCTCAAGCCAGCCGTCGAAGCAGCAGCAGCTGATGCCTGGGAAGACTTTGAAATCGCTGGAGAACATGCACAGAGAGTGGAGAGAGTGCTTGACGTACGCCAGGGTCAATTATGCTGGGTAGCCGGAACCATCTACATGGATTTGCCTTTGAAGCCCAACATTCTTGACGAGCTCTCCAAGGACCACTGGGTTGCTGGACCCCCTCCTCGGCGAAGTTACTATTCAACAGCAGAGGACATCCAGGTAATGCTCGAGGACGAGTCTGGGCGATTAAGACTTACCGGTGCGATGCTGAGAACCAATTCACTTGTGACGGGGGTTATCGTCGCTGTACTAGGAACAGAGAATGCAGATGGCGAGTTTGAGGTCTTGGATCTTCATGTTGCCGATCTTCCACGACAACCCCAAAGATGGGAGCGTGACGAAGGCCAGTCAGCTCTCCCAGGGAAAATGGAAGTAGATCACGAGAGCCAGCCGAAAAAGATCGTACTCGTCAGCGGACTGGGCATATCTGGGACTGAAGCAGATACAGTGAGCCTCTCTTTGCTCAGCGAATATCTTCTTGGAGAGTCTCTTGGATTAGGAGATCAGCTTCCCGCAACAACACTTTGCCGGCTGATCATCGCCGGCAACTCAATCTCCTCAGATGTCATCATCGCTCCTCCGCCCGATGCAATGGATACTGGCACAAGGAAAGCTACTCAGAAGAAGTATGGGTACGATTCAACAGCCTACAATCCTACACCAACTGCTCATCTTGACCAATTTCTGTCAGAACTTCTACCAAGCATTCCAATCACAATCATGCCTGGAGAACATGACCCTGCAAATACTAGTATGCCGCAACAGCCAATCCATCAAGCCATGTTCCCACATTCTCGAGCATATGCATCTCAGCACCTGAACCATGAAGAAGATTCCGAGCCAGGCTGGCTTGATAGCGTCACGAATCCTTGGGATGGCGATGTCGAGGGATGGCGATTGATGGGCAATAGTGGCCAGCCAGTCGACGACATCCTCAAGTACATAGATCATGGAGGCCCAGATGGAACAGGAGCAGATGGCAGACTGGAGGTCATGGAAAGCATTCTGAGATGGAGATGTGGCGCTCCTACTGCTCCGGACACTCTGTGTGAGTAGAGGCAGCGACTTCTCCAGGCGGAAGCATCTTACTAATTACTTCTTAGGGTGCTATCCCTTCCAGGAAAAAGATCAATTCGTGATCGAGCAATGCCCACACGTTTTCTTTGTTGGCAATCAGCCCAGATTCGATACCGCCGTCATCGAAGGTCCAGCAGGACAACAGGTACGCATCGTTGCGATACCCAAGTTTCATGAGACAGGTCAAATCGTGCTTTTGGATTCGGAAACACTTGAGGTGGAGCTAGTCAAGATCGACGTATACGACGAGCTGGATGCCGAGGGCACATGAGGAATCGTCTGATCAAAGGTGATGAACAGTCAGTTTCCCATAACTGGCCCTGATGATTTAGGAACATGCATCCTCGTAAAGGTGTTTCCATACGCTCTAATTCTGCCCGGGACAATGTTTCGCCGATCCGCCGCCCCAGCACTACTACTGTTTGACTTCTTCTTGGAACAGCATACAATCCCTTTCGGCCGGGTAAGCGCGTATCATGTTGATCAATGAGTACACAGGTGTGGAGAAATCCTCATCGAGGTCGTTGGACTACCACTAATTCATTGGCAGCAATATCCACATCGAAAGTCCTCCTCGTACCCTACACTGAGCACCATGTCCCCCAATACCACGAATGGATGCAAGATCGAGTAGGCCAATCCTCTACGAGCTTCCAGGGAAATCAGTCTAAAGCTAACCTCAATGCAAGGCCATCCAGGAAGCGACAGCTTCTGAACCCCTAACCATCACCCAAGAATACGCCATGCAAGAATCCTGGCGAAAGGACTCCGACAAATTGACGTTCATCATATGCCAGCCTTTGCCCAACCAAGCCGATCAAAAGCTTCTATCCCACCTCGAACCCAAGACGCACGATAACGCTGATCGAATGATTGGCGATGTGAATCTTTTCCTGTCTCTTTCGTCCGAAGTTGACACCAATCGCGAACATCACCATGCCAATGAGTACAGTGTTCAGCCTCCTTCGAACTTATCAGGCGACGAGTACCAGTCAGCCACGACGACCATAGAAGTGACCGGCGAACTCGAGCTCATGGTAGCAGTCCACACGTGCCAACGAAAAGGCTACGGCCGCGCTGCCCTTCTCACATTCATCCGCTATGTCTTGATGCACCAGTCTGAGATTATTGCCGAGTTTCTCCAGGCTAATTCTCCCTCAAAACTCCCTAGCACTCATAACAGAGATCGAATCCATAAGACTGCCCGCATTCCTACCACTACCCGTACCGGTAGTAGTGCTGAATTATCGCTGACAGCCAAGATCTCAACCACAAACACCGCCTCCCTCTCCTTGTTCCAGAGTCTAGGCTTCATCAAGACAGCTGAAAAGCCGAATTATTTTGGGGAGTGGGAGCTTCGCTTTCCTGCAGCCATACGTGGAGATGGTCCAAATTCCCAAACAGAGTGGGAAAGGAAGCTGGAGCGGTGGGGAGTCACGGCGTGGAGGGAGATACGTTATGAGTGTTGAATGTCGAAATAAGGTGCCTCTCGCTTTTTCTCTCGCCAACATAGCTCTTCCAAGGGTGTACGTCTCTGCGCAAAGATGAGATTCGGCGAGCTGAAGAGTCTCTTCCTAGCCCCGGAGGGGACTCAAAACTTCAACTTCCCCTTTTCCTTCCCCTTTCCTCTTTCTGAGCATCCCAACTCCGACAAACTCTTCAGGGTTGTAAGGAAGAAGATACATAAATGACAGTCGTGATGACAGACGATGAGAGCTGAGGACGAGGGGAACTTGACAAATGGCTAGTTAGCTAACTACCTAGGTTATTCTACATCGTGGTAGCCGAATCACCAGTCAGCTGAAGTCATGGTTAACGTAGAAGAAGCTATTTCCACTCCACTCCTCAACCCAACCCAACCCAACCCAACCCAACCCTCTCATTCTTTTCCCCCTTTCTCTTCCTCCATCCTTCCGCTTCTCCATTTCCATTAGCGTGCAGTTCCCAGTCCAGCCATCCAGCTACACGTTGGACCGAATGATCAACCAGAGGAACGCAGAGCCGAGTCTGTGTAGTCCAAGAGCTACAGCACAAGTTTGTGGAAGCGCCCATACCTCCGATGATGAGGTGGAATGGAAGAGCAATTGCTGTAGAGATTTTCAGAGATGAAGTTAGTAGAGAAAAGATGTTTGGAACCATAATCCACTCGGGAATTCTTTTTCGCTCGTCGCTGAATCTAGAATACATTGGGGAAGAAGCTGGCGGCTGAGGAAGGACATGTTGCAGCGGCAGCTGCTGGAGGTCTTCGTCCATCCCCCCATCAAGCCATGCAAGAATACACATTTACATCCCTCTTTATTAACTCTTCTTGCCCGTAAGAGTGCATGTTTTTCGCTGCAAAGTTTGTCCATTACCTTCAATGACCAACCCAGCCACTCCGCCTTCTTCATGCTGCAATCAATACTCATTCCTCAGTCCGCCTAGTAAGCTCTCGGGAATCCTGTCGGCTGCGGCGTGATTCCATTAGGCTGCCCAAAGGATGCTGAACTGGGTGCGCTAGCTACTGGACCCTGTGTCAACATCAACCGCGACCCACCGAGAATGGGTGTCTGGTCTTCTTCTTTTTGCTGACTTGCCTCCCGGGCCTTCCTCTCCTCATTGTCCTTCTTCAGTTTTTCGATAGTCGATGCTTGCTGGCTCATGTAGCTGATCATGAAGGGCATGGTGAAGTCGTTCAGACCATGGCGCCATGAAATTTCCATGACGGTGTGAAGCGGAATGAGGTCGTAGCAAGCGTAGAGCATGCCCACGTAGCACTCTCGGCTGCCGATATCGACGAACTAGAAGGTGTAAGCGGGTAAGTGACGCCTCTGGGAAATGGAAAACTTACATATCTCAACAGGTCTTCGACCACCTCGCGTTTCCCAGAGATAGCCGAAGTTTCGATTGCATCTTTGAAGAGTTTGTCTTGCTTCGACAGCGCGATGGACTTTTCCCATCTCTTGTTCTTTCGATAGATTTGAGCCGCAATCTGCCTGAAGAACACCAGCTCGTGTTTCTCCAATCGTTGAGCAAGCTCAACAGGGTCGTAATTGTCGTAATTCTCAACCGAATCCTTGAGGGTCTTGTGGTCTTCCTCTTCGATCAAGAGATCGTTGATGGCGTTATTCACTGCTCTCTTGTTCTGCCCCTGTACATTGAGCAGGAATGGCTTGATGATGGGAATATTATCGGACTTCTCAAACATTCGAACAACGCGATTGACGTCAATTCGTGGAGTCAGGGCTTGCAGAAGATCCGTGAGCAAGAGTGGTTGTTCTTGCAGGTAGTGATTCAATGCACGGTAGTAGATCTCGAGGTTGGCGACCTTCACAATGATATCTTTGAAAGAATGGTGCTCCCATGCGTCAGCAGCTCGTTCCATCATAGCCAAGGCTGCATTATCCCACTCATCGTAGTGGCAATAGAGAAAGACCAGTTCTGGCCATAGGTGTGCATCCTCGACACCGCGAATCATTTTCGGGATGTTGATTCGGCCCCAGAACAGCTTCAGATGCTCCATCGTCCTCTCTGGATGATACTTTGACAGTGCAAGACCAAGCTCTGTGAACATGCCCATATGTGCTCGCTCGAGACCCAGGCCAGCCTCAAGTAAGGAGATGAGCTCTTCAAAATAGCCTTCCTTCTCGTACTGTCGCACAAGATCTTGCAACTCCTCTGCATGCACAATCAAGTTCAGACCACAGATTTGAGCTAGACGGAACTCTTTTTTGGCAACGCAAGCCTCATTGACCTGCTTCCAAACCTTGACGCTGTTGGCTCGTCGAGCGCATTCCACTGCTGCCTGGTAGTCATCCAGATGAACAAGTGTGGTGGCAAGTTTAGCCCAGTTCGAAATACTCGTGTAGAATATCTTGGCTGCTTCGAAGAGTCCCTCTTCGTATGCCTTGTCGCCCGATGCCTCGACATTTGCAACGTTTGTTGAACGCAAAAAATCTTCAAGTTCAGGCAACTGGTCAAGCCTCGCATAGCAGAAGACCAAAGCGGTATCGATTGCCGGCTCGCGCTGTGTCTTTCGTGCCATCTTTAGGTACTTGATCAGATCTTCGTCCTTGCCGGCATGAGTCGCTGTTTCGATCACTTCGTTGTAATTGCTGGGATCCTGCGCTTTGATGTAGGATTCTATCGCATCGCTCACCCGAAGACCATCAAGCTGTGCTTTCGCCACCTTGCTCCAAACCTCCGGCAGCTCGACACGTTCAGCATAATCTTGTGCACGATCAATGCTGACGACATTGTCGACAAGAACATTAGTGGCAGCGACATGATTGTCGACCTTTTTGTAGATCTCGAACGCTTCTTCAAACAACCCTTGATCAATACACATAGTTGCAATTTCGTCAGCATTGAATTCTGACAGGCGTTGAATGTAGTCCATAAGCCGGCCCTTGTCGGCCTTAGCAGCTGTGAGCATGAGTAGATTTTGTAGGCTGCCGTTGTCGCTGAAGGGAGATGGTTCTAGGATGATCTTCTCAAGCAGCTCAATGAGCTCGGCGGGGAGGTCAGCGTCTAGAAATGCTTTGACGGCCACAGACACCTTTTGTGGCTCGTTTGACTCGGGTACAGCTGTTGCAATGACCTGGTCGATAAGAGCGCGTCGATGTGTGTTGTTGTCATTGAGCACGAACGCCCATATTTCGAGGTCAGCACGCTCAAGAAGATATCGGGCTTGGGCGCGGTACATCGAATTCTCATTGGTAATGTTGATAAGCTCAATATCATTCTGCCCCTTTCTGTACGCAATATATGCCAAATTTGGATCACGTTTCTCGCAGTATTTGCCCACAGTCAACGTATCGTAAAGATCGTTCTCTTTCAAAAACTTCTCAGGATCATGATTGCTATCGATGTAGATCTTTGCAAGAGCATTGTAGACTGCTTGTTGCTGGTTTCCGGCAGCCAACGTCGCCTCAAGAAATGGAAGCAGGATCTTAAGCCGATTATGGTTCTCGACTTCAGCCACAAGCTCGTCGATTGGCACGGCGGACGCATCAATTGATGACAGTAACTGCTTGATGATGTTCTCGTCGCAATCCAGAGCGAGCAGTGCACCGACCACAGCAGGTGTTCGTGAAGGGTTGACGCGCTGAACGTAAACTTCTATTGACTTGTAGTGTTGATTTCTGTAAAGGTAGTTCACAAGGTCTTTGACAAAGTTGAAGCGATCGCAGACAATGATCAGAGGCAGCTGTTCAGTGAGCCTAGCTTCGATGAGGAAATTCTTGACTTTCTCCGGATTGTAGTAGTTGCTGTCGCGACAGAGTCTTTCCACCTCGGTGAACTGATTCATGGCCGTGGCCGCCTCAATGTACTTGAAGTGGACATCAGGATCCTCACTCAAGTTGACGATGCTTCCGAGATAGTAGTAGAGCCCTTCCGCTGTACGGTGTTTTTCGAACAAATCAATGAGTCGATTTGGGCCCAGGAGGTCGGAATATTTCGTAGCAATTTGAACGACGGATTGAAGGTTTTGGCGAATATTTACTTTCAGCATCTCATCCATGCAATCCAAAGATTGCTCCAAGGACATTCGGCCAAAGTAGTTGATCAACCACTCTGGACTCAGCTTGTCGGTCTTGACGATGTTGCGCTTGATGACGATTGGATCGTCCGTATTCTCCAAAGCACGCTGGTAGAGCTGAGCGTTCTCGCAAAGTGCCGCGATTCTTGCTCTATCATAATATGAGAACATATCATTGCCGAGTATAGCATCCGCCACCTGAGGTGCATGCATCAAATTCATCTCGAGCAATTTGGTCTGCAGATGGCCCTGCTCCGGCTTGTTGTCCTTGAGTGCATCCAGAAGGAAGGCTGTTGCTTGTTGAACCATATTCTGAGCCATGAAGATGTCAACGACCCGATCGATGTCGACCAAAGGCCCACCTTCCTCATTGGCAAGCTGCGTAGCAAATTCAGCACCTTTCTCTGGGTTTGATCGAGTCAGGTTCTGCAGAAGCTGAGTAAAGTCTGGTCGGTAGCCGACTTGACGTGCGTAAGGCAAAATCTGCTCAAATTGGCCGGTCTCGGTCAAAGCCGCAACAACCTTAGCAGGAACATTGGCCTTCATGTAAATAGCCAAAGCTAGATTGATATCATGAAGACGAACAATATCACCGAGCTCTTCCGAGCATTCTAACTTTTCCTCTTTCATCCATTTCTCCAGAAGATGTTTGCGGTTCTGTTGCAGAACAGGTCTCACGAGTTCCACACTTTCGTATCGATTCAGACCACCCTTATCTAGAAGCATACCAAAATACTGCAGAATGACGGACATCTGTCCAGCACCTTGTCCAGCGTTTTTGAACGTGTTGATAGTCTCTTGAGTGCGAAGAAAACCCCGAGGGGAGTTTGCGGCCACCTTGGCTGCTTCCGCCCAATTGCCTGATACCACAAGCTGGTTGTACTGTTGTCGGTACAGATCGTCGGCACCTGGCAGTCCAGCCCGTGATGCCAATTTGACGGCAAGGCCTGTATTTGCAGGATTCTGCAGGAGGTAATGGATGATTGTGTTCTCGTCCACACTGACTGCCAGAACTTGGCCTTTTCGGTTGACACCCACCACTCCCGCAGATTCCGAGTCAGGAGCTGTGATGAAAATCGTTTCGCTTGATATACGATTCATAAAGATGCAGGTCCCTGATTCCAGGTCGTACAAGTGGATGAAGCCATACTTGGTGATCATATAGATGATGCTGTATTTCTTCGAGATCTGCATGGCCACGGGAAAATCGTTGGTCGCTTCGGCTGGGAAGTACACCTCGACCGCCTTCTTAGGGAATCTGGCATTGGCTTGGTTTGCGTCAATCTCTACAATATGCAATTTCGCACCGCTGGCAGTCCTGACGGCGAAGGAGAACAGCTTATATTCCTCAGGCTGGCCGTCAACCCTTAATGTGCCGAAAGCTGCAGCATGGCCTTCGATGTTTTGCGAAATGCCTCGATCGCGCGAGTATAGCTGCATTGTGCCGGCCACTCTTCCTTCCTTCTGCGAGATACCAACGACAACCATCCACTTCTCGTCATCGTTGACGCGGTAGTTAATGATTTGGCAGCCCTATCGGGAACAGCCGCGGTCAGAATCAAATTCATCAAGAAAGGTTCTACCCAGCAAGACTTACTGCTAGCTGCGGGTTCCGCTCAAACACCTTGACAGGAGAAGCTTGCGTCGGATCAAAAACGTTCCAGTGGTAGACCGAGGTGTCGGTCACCAGGCCAAGACTGGTCTCGCTGTACCATTTCCAAAAGACCACGTCTTCATTCATCAAGGCAGATTTGAGTTTCTGCTTGGCCCCCAGGTCAAAGATTTGAATGGTACGTGATTGGGCCTTGAGCGCAATGACCTGCTTGGTCCAGTGCATGATAGCACTATCGGCGTTGATAGGTCTCTTGATAATTTCATTGTTGTTCTTGAGGTTGATGATGATGACTTGAGGCTTGTCGTCTTCGTTGATTTTTTGTCGAACGCAGACATAGTGATCTGACTCCAAAGTCTAGCATAAATGTCAGCAAGGTAAGATAATGGTTGATGGAGGCGGAACACTTACACACGAGTTGAATCCAATGGACGCCGGCTATATCAAGAATATGTCAGTGTCTAGCCCTTGCGGCGGACAAGTTGAGCAGCTGGCTGCAGGGTATGGGCAAGGACAACGTACTGCAATGTCAGCATTCGTAAGCTAAGGGATTCACAAAGAGTTAGCAAAGTCAACACTGCGATCCCAGTGAATCGTGCTACCAACCTGTAGAAGCTCTGTGAACTTGATGGGTAATATGCCGCCCTGCGCCATGGTTACGATGGCTGATGCCCGACCTCATCCGCGTCAGAATTGACGGCCAACACCAAATGAAATGTGCACCAGCTTCTGGGAGGAGATCAAGACAATAAGGAGCGACGAGCAATGTTGCAGAGTTTTGCGTGGAAAGTGAACGTAAGGTTGAGGTTTGTTGTCCAGCTCTGTGCGGCTTCAGGAGTTACCAGATGCGATGCAAGATGCCAGATGCCAGCCAGGTGAATTAATTTTAGTTCAACCTAGCGCTACTAAATTACTTCGTACTAATTTACTTATTAATGGTTAGAGGGCAAACAGGTCCAGCTTGATGCCAAGAGGTCACGTGGCTAGAGTGTGCTACTACTTAGTACTAGTTAGTACTACTACTACGTAGTAAGTAGTAGTAGTGGAGTACATGAGTCTTAACACTGAATTTTACGAATCCGGACTGTGAATAGGAAGGGTTGTTCAATAAGGGCGGCAGTTATCCGTAGCCCACCCAGACACATAATCCAGGATCTGTCTAATCACCCAGCTGGAGCATCCCTTGCTCGATCAATTCGACAGGAATAGCTGTCGAAGCCAGGGTACATGGAGCCCAGAGGGTATGGCTGTTCAAGGGATGAGCAATCTGTCAATTGGTCATCACTCATGAAAGAGCAATCTATAAAACTTTGTTGATAGGAGTTTGTACACGTAGAGAACAAGTGTGATGCTTCTGGACAAAGCCGGTAGCCTATGATACCCCTCGTGCATGGAACTTTGTAAGCTTGTTAGACAAGACTTTGACGTCAGCCCTCTGAGAGTTAAAAAATTATTCGGGTAACAGGACTCCGTATGAGGGCACAAATGTAGAATAGCGGTGGGCATCTCCCATGTGAATAATACCGACACCTTGGTCTCTTCCCTCCTGAAGTTCAGCTTCCCTGCCCAGTAGTTTTAATTGTCATGGCAGCTACAAAAACAGGTGACGGACATAATTGACTCTTCATTATCTGTCACCACTGCTAATTCGATGTACAGCTATCTTATCTGTTTATGATAAGGCTGGACTGTTGGATCTTGCCAAAGGTCTAACCAAGAACAACGTCCGGCTTCTTGCGTCTGGTGGTACAGCAAGATTAATCCGAGAGGCTGGCTTCAACGTCGAGTAAGGAGACAATCCAGACTTATGCAAAGGTCGACCATCTGACAGTGCTGCTCCAGGGATGTGTCGGCCATTACACATGCGCCGGAAATGCTTTCTGGCAGGGTCAAGACCCTTCACCCTGCCGTGCATGCTGGTATACTGGCACGGGACTTAGCATCTGACGAAAAAGATCTTGCAGATCAAAATATCAACAAGGTCGACTATGTAATCTGCAACCTTTATCCTTTCAAGCAGAAAATTGCCCAGATCAATGTCACGATCCCGGAGGCCGTTGAAGAAATTGATATCGGTGGTGTGACGTTGCTCAGAGCAGCAGCCAAGAATCATACAAGAGTCACCATTCTGAGTGATCCAATGGATTATCCGGACTTTTTGCAGGAATTAGACCGAGGAGAGATTACAGAGGCCAGCAGAAATCTCTATGCTCTTAAAGCCTTTGAACATACCGCAGACTACGATGCAGCTATCTCAGATTTCTTCCGAAAGAAGTATGCCGGAGATGGTAAGCAGCACTTGTCTTTGAGATATGGCGAAAATCCGCATCAGAAACCTGCATCTGCGTTCATGCGAGGGGAAGATCTGCCATTCAAGGTACTGTGTGGGTCTCCGGGATACATCAACCTTCTGGATTCTTTGAATGCGTGGCCGCTCGTCAAAGAGCTACGAAAGGCCCTCAATTTCCCAGCAGCTGCTAGTTTCAAGCACGTATCGCCTGCCGGAGCTGCCATCGGCGTCCCGCTGAGCGAAGTGGAACGAAAAGTCTACATGGTAGATGATATTGATGGTCTTTCTGAATCGGGACTTGCTCAAGCCTATGCACGTGCTCGCGGAGCTGACCGAATGTCAAGTTTCGGTGATCTCATTGCTCTTTCTGACAAGGTCGATGTGCCAACGGCGAAGATCATATCTCGCGAAGTCTCGGACGGCGTAATAGCTCCCGACTACGATTCCGAGGCGCTAGAAATCTTGATGAAGAAGAAAGGAGGCAAATACTTGATTCTGCAGATGAACGAGACATACAAGCCACCATCTCAGGAGACACGAACGGTGTATGGTGTTCAATTATCGCAAGCTCGAAATGACGTAGAGATTTATCCAAAGGAGACCTTCGCCTCAGTAGTGCGGCCCAAAGACTCCAGATCACTGCCCGATCCAGCGCTACGCGATTTGACAGTTGCTACCATTACGGCGAAGTTCATCCAATCCAACAGCGTGGCCCTATCGCTAAATGGGCAGGTCATCGGCCTTGGTGCGGGTCAGCAGAGTAGAATACATTGTACACGACTGGCAGGCGACAAGGCAGACAATTGGTGGATGCGATTCCATGAACGGGCCCTGAACCTGAAATGGAAGAAGGGCACCAAGCGACCGGACAAGAGCAACGCGATTGACATGCTCTGTAGTGGACAGGTGCCACGTACGAGTGGTATTGAAAAAGAGGCCTTTGAGAACAACTTTGAGGAAGTGCCACAACCTTTTACGGAGCAAGAACGTGAGGCATGGTTGTCCAAGTTGAGCGAGGTTGCTCTTTCGAGTGATGCTTTCGTAGGTGATGTCGGACAGTTCGACCTCTACCGCTAACACTATTTAGTTCCCTTTTATTGACAACGTCTTCCGAGCTGCACGGTCAGGCGTGAAATACATCGCAGCTCCCAGTGGGAGTCAAAATGATCAAGCTGTGTTTGACACGGCAGACAAGCTCGGGATTACCTTTGTGGAACAGAGCACACGACTCTTCCATCATTGATGAACACGATTGACTGCATGGCTATCTGGCAGCTTGAAGTCAAAGTTGAAATCAGGTGTTCAACGATATAGACATTCTAGTTAAGATTTTTCTTCCAACGAGTATCATCCTTAACTTGGCACATGAGTGATGAGTCGGGGAACAACTAGCATCGGCTCAACCATGAATTTCCAGCTACTTGCGGATGTCTACAAGGAGCGCAAATCATTGCGCTGACTTCCTCCGGCTGTGGTGGTTCAAATCGGAACAGTGGATCGCAGTGCGTCGGTTCAAAATACGTTCGGAGGGTCAGAATCAAGTGTTAAAATCAGCGTTCACACAGGCCACTGCTCTGCCCCACCGAGTCTGTAGGGGATTTACCTCAACTTGTTCCTTATTGCCAGCTGGACGATTGAACTGCCGATCTGGGACTTCAGATGGCTGTTGGTATAAAATGAGCCAGAAGCGCACTAGAGAGCTGTTAAGTAATCTTTGTAGTCCAGGTGACAGTACGCTGCCTCTTCCGATCTAGCCCTCTCGGATAAGCTTGTGATGAACGAGTCTTGCTCCAACTGTAAAGCCAGGGAGCAATATCAACTCAATGCGTTAATTGGGTGTGTTTAGCTGACAGAAATCCGAATATAAAGTTCAGACGAAATAACTCCGCAGGCGCCAAGGCCCAACAAAGCCTTGCCAAGATTGAATCTGCTCTGCTCTATTCTCTTTGTAGAAAGAGTGTTAATTTTCTACAGAA